CAGTTTCGACATAACGACTCAAAAATCAAAGCAGTAGAGCAACATGAAGTAAACGAGTAATAAAAAGTTGAATGAGTTGGAAAGGTTTAGTTTCTAATGAAACTGAACTGTTCAGCCGTTGGTGGGGAAATGAATTAAAACAAAGATTTTGTTTCATTGAGTTGTTACCATAAACCGACAAAACAACAATGCAAGCTATCGAAAGCTAATTACATGTACAAGTGAGCAACACACACGGGGAAGAGACACGCGTGACAATTTCCACGCGCGTTCGAGAGACTGCTCGTAGTGTAGTTATGTAATAGCATTCAAGAAACGACCTAACAGCGAACAAAACTGCCAACCCTGCTGAATCTCTTGCTGGTTGACAAAGTATGCAGCCTACTCAGATAAGAAATTAGACAAACTGGAGACAAAGAGTAGTGGTAGCAGATAGAACACTGGCAAACGCTAGAAGAATCATGCTGCTTTAATCAAGATTTAAAAAACATTCAAAATATCTATTATACTGACTAGGAGCCCGTAACCCTCGAAGGCTCCTGACTAAACTAAAAACTCCTAAAGTATCATTAAGAACAAATTCTATATCGCTGGTTGTCCAGGATAACTTTGAATGTTTTTTACACCATACACAGAAACTTTAAGTTGCTGTTAGTAGAAACTCACCTGGATAATCCAGGCCACGAGTGATATGCAAAGCTTCTGTAAAGTTTCTGGCAACCCTTCCTCTGTACAAATCAGGAACCATGGTTACAAAATTGCCCAGTTCGCCTATATGCCTCGCTTGTTCCTTGATTTGTTCATTCATACCCCACCATTCCTGAACAACAACAAGGCATTTGCTTGGAGCCCTCATGCCTCCGTTGAGTGATCCGGGGCAGTCGCCAAGCGGATTCAGTGAACTGAAGTTCACTGCTTCTTTTTGTACATAAACCGAGTCAAAATTCACGTGCAGGTTAAGTATAACGGAGAGGAATCCCGGCAGCTCTTCAAAAAGCAACATTTTGCTAGTCTGAACTAATGCGACCTAACTTGCATGCGAAGTGTATTTCTAGAATGCACTGTGACTCAGCACTAAATTAGAATGCATTGTCACGCTAGTCTATTTTGTATATTTGCCATGGGTCATAAATATTGATTCTTTTGTTTTACTCTGCTAACAAAGGCCCTAAAGTTGTCAACTAGTCAAAGTGAGACATGAATCTCTAGACAAACTCAGCCATGTAAATCAGAGGGAACAAGAACAAGAATATACTTCCTTCTAAATAGAAGAAAAAGAACATTTTTATAGCGCGTATCTAGTAATGATCTAGGCGTTTAACAAAGTAAAAAAAATTAGAATTAAAATAAATTTAAATTTGAATAGTATACATGCAAGTTAGGTTTTAAGTTTATACTTAAAAAGACTTCGATTCTCGCCTGAGCGTATGTCGTCAGGTAGTTTGTTCCAAAGCTCGGGGGCTGAGACAGCGAATGCTCTAGATCCATAGGTCTTAAATCCCCCCGGCCGTAGCCCCTTTTCCCCTTATGAAATTTACGCAAGGTAGAATTTTTTTCTGCTTTTATATCACACTTTGATGATATTTCAAGCTGGAAATGTCCATGAAAGTGCAAGTCTCTTCAATCTGAAAGAAAAAAATATGAGCGGTAGGTTTTGAACCTACGACCTAGAAAACTTTACATACCACGCTAACCACCAGACCACTGCGGATAGAGGGAAAATAATTTAAGTACATAGAGCATCAACGCTAAACCCGAAAAAGAACCTAGTAACCAGTTTCGAAACAGTGCTTAACCCTAATCAGTAAAGTGCAAATCCTAATCTGTATAAGGCATAGTCTCCTTCGCAGCCGTTATTAGGGTCGTCACTCGTCAGGCAACGCTCCTCCCCACTAAGTGGGGAGGAGCGTTGCGTGACGAGTGACGACCCTAATAACGGCTGCGAAGGAGACTATATAAGGCAGTGCTTAACCCTAATACATAACGAACTACGTTGTGTAAATTCCATTAGGTGTCCGAAAGGGCTACGGTCGATGGGATCTAATGATACCCTGCGACAGAAAGGGTCGTAAACACAATACAAAAGCTATGTAATGTACGCAATGCATGCTGGTAGTGGCAGCTCTCGGCTAGGTCGAAAATTTTATTTGATTTTAATTTTGATTTCATTTTACTTTACTTTGGTTTCATTTCGTTTTATTTTGATTTCACTTGATTTTACTTTCACTTTTCTTTTGAATTAAAATAAAATTAAAAACAAAGTGGACAATAATTACACTGAAAAATAATGAATAATGAATAATTCCTTCAAAATGCGGATTTTTCGATTGGCAGTTCTCGACCACCAGAGAGTAGATTTTGGCTTTTATAATCTTTATTCTTTGCTTTTCTATTCCCACAATTTCATCAATCGGTTTTTGTTTTTGCTGTTTATGCCCATTAAACTCTTTTTTCAATTTAGTGTTTTTTATTAAAATGCTTAGATTATTTTTTAAATTTCAATTTTATTCTTTCTACCTCAACTTAAAATCTTCTTATCTAAACTACAAACGCTAATTTTAACATCTGCTTTTAATTTCCATTAGTCAACGAATCATAATTTGGCAAATGCGACTGATAATAGCAGGCTATTCAGTTTTAAAGTATGCAAATCATTGCGCTTGAGGTTCACTAATTTCCATTTTAACTGCTGAATCATCTTTTGTATCTTCTTGCAATTCTTCTTGCAAATCATCTTGCAAATCCTCTTGCAAATCGTCTTGAGAGTCTTGTCTACCAATTCGTAAAGCTTCAACTTGTTTGTCAGTTTGTTTCTTTTTCTTTTCTCGCTGTTTCTGCTTCCTTTTGAATTTAGCCACAATTTCCTTCTCCATGTCGTCAATTTTTTGTTGTAAATTTCTCCTTTTCATTTCTTGGTCTGTTGCTTGTGTCAATAAGGGAAAAATCTTCATCGCATAAGCTGAAAAATGTTTCAGTTTTGTCACCCTTTCATCTGGCATTTTTGTCAACTCCCGGATGATTTCAGCTAGATTAAATGAATATGTACGATTGATGTCAAAATTATACTGACTTGAAACGTCTTGTATTTCTCCTCTTCGCGTCTTGATTTTTTCCACATAGTTTTCCAGTCGGTCTTGAAGCTGTTTCAAGCTTTCAGGCATCATAAAATCCAAGTCTTTACCAGGCAGAGTGCTTCACTGATTCACTAAATTTCTCTCTGAAATTTTCAGACTGCTAGCGTTTCACTAAATTTTTCACTTTTGTAAAAAAATATGTGTAATCACCTGATTGGTTAAAAAATGGGAAAACCCCCTTCTAGAATATTCTGTAAATCATTAAATATTAAACCAGTGGCGGATCCAGAGCCTTAAGATAAGGGGGGAGCCCGCACATCCAGACCCTGAGATAAGGGGGGGGGGAGATCTCTCAAAAAAAAGTTTTTTCGGCCCCTCGGGCCTCAGATTGGTCTAAAAATAAGGGGGGGGCGGGCCCCTCCCCTGGATCCGTCAGGGGATTGCCTCTGCCTCTGCCTGTTTTTCTATGGCATTTTCCTTGTTTTTATTCTTGATAAGTTCCACTCAATCCGGAGTCTGTGAATGCTCCTAACACGATCTTTCTCGGACGGCTCTGCAATGTTTCCAATGTACAATTTTATTTTGCTAATTTTTTGGCAAATGACAGAGTAATTTAGACATGTCCTCATTCATAACAAAAACTTAAACGCCGTCGTAGCTTTGAAACAAGCGGCATGTTAGAGTGTCGTTGCTACTGGCAAAACAGAGGTATCTTTTTGGGGAAAAGCTTAAAGATTCATAACGAAGAGTGTCGTATCTCTCGCCACCAATAGACACAGCACTGTTGAAAAAGCAGTGATTAAATTCTCATCAGAAGTTCACCTTACATATGATCAAGCTTTTTGGGGAAACTTAAATTGACTGATATGAATATATAAAGCTAAATTTACAATTTCGAATCTTTATCGTTGCCTGTCCTGGCGCCTGTGCAGAACATTTCGCGCATGCTTATTACGTTTTTCCGCTCTCAACGTAAGTAGGCAGTAGTAAAAATGCTAAATGTCAAGATTGTTGAACTACAATGTTGACTTCTTTTTTTTTTTTTTTTTTATGAATCATTAGTTGCCTACTTAAAATCGCCCTGTAATCAGACCCAAGCGCTGGCTTGAACTAAATGATTGAAAAGCATGGAAACCGTACCAGAACGTCCCTGGTCTAATCAAGCTCAGAACATTGTTATTTTATCCACATTATTCCTCGTCATCTTCATAGACGCCTTAGCATATTCATTGTATGCACCATTTTTCCCAAGCGAGGTGAGATGTTTTTTAATTCTTTGTATTGAAGGCATTATTTACAATATTTTCAATGTCTCACTGTATTTTCCAAATGAATTTTCGAATGTAGTGCCTTTATAGAATAAGTTGTACCTAGTAGTGTCCACTGATGACGGATCTGAAAATGCAAATTTTCTCTCAGTTAAATGCTCTTCTGCGTGTGCATCTACTGAGCTGATTAATTAAAGTATAAAAGCAGAGCTCATTTTATTTCAGTCATTATCTGTACAGCATGGTGTATATAGTTCCAGAAAATATCCGTGCACCTCCCCCCCAACGGAATGCATTTTTGTTTTAGACCCTTACCCTCCTGGAATTTCCATTGCAAGAAGTGCTTGTCATACCCCTCTTCCCCCTGCGATTTCCGTGATTTTTCCATTTTGGCTGGGTATCCTTGGAAAGACTATATAGCCGTCAAAAATGTAGTTACACCGCCGTACTATTATGCGAAATGTAATTGTTTTTCCGATAAAGTGCGAAAAAAAAAAAATCTCTTTATCCATTTTAATACATAGTCTAGTAAACTTAATTTTGCCTTGTAGAGGTCTTTTCTAGCTAATGATCTAACGGTAGGCCACTGCCGGAGGACCGTGGAGGCGAATACCTTCTTACACTACAACACTACACGAGAGATACCAACTGTAAAAGAATCAGTTCTACATTCAAACTAAACACCAAGTGAACTTCTTTTAGTTAAAACATGATATAAAAGAAGGAAGCTTAGAACAGCACCACATTACGATGAATACCACAATCGTGAAATCAAGCAACAGATAGATAAGCGGAAGTTTATTCATGAGCCGATGACAACTGTATTAAAAAAAAAACGATCGCGTAAGCCGTGAAAAAAGCATTCAGCAGACTGTAATTAGATGATCATCAATGAAAACAATAATTCTTGTTTTGAAACACTGGAAGAAACACTCGGAAAGGCCACTCCCCTTCCCCATCGGAAATTACCTCCTTTGGACTGACCCCCCTCCCCTCAGAATTTCTTTTGCCCTCCATAGGGAGAGTATGGATGTTTTCTGGAACTACAAATTCCATAAAAAAAATTACCACTTTGCTGTAAGTAACTAATTATAATTCCATTGGGTTATAGGTTAGTTTACAAGTTAACACAAGCATAAGCATAAGTAGGGAGTGGTGGCGCGCCCTTCGACCTTTCTCATAAATCTTCTCCTCACAGGGTAAAGCAAAGGCAAACAGAGCATGAAAATTTATTCACAACTTTATTTTCATTTCTTTCGTCTGATATTATAAGCTTAGATAAGTCGTTTCCACAAGTATAATTAAAAAGGACTGAAATTAACGAGTCAGCCGATAAGACCCTGCAAGCATAAGCAAAAGAATAAACCATCCAAGTTACAAATCATAAAAAAAAACTCTAGATGCCGCGCTAGTTTTGTTCAATTCTGCCGCTAAACTTTAGAATGATTTACCCCCGCAAGACACAAGATTGGTAAAAACTTTGGAACTCACGATGAAATAGCCCCTTCTATCCTAAGGAAATGTTTGTAAACTTTCTTCACAATTCATAGTATTACTCAACCCTATTGTAATAGGAAATAATGTTATAGAGCAAGTTAAATGTTATTAGATCTTAGGCGTCAATTTGAGCAATGACCTCAAAAATGGAATAACCATGTGGATTACATTGTTAAGAAAGCCTGTGAGAAATTATATTCCCCAAGGGGTACTGCTTAGAGCGGGTGTTAGTAAATTTAGCATTCTGAAATTAAAGTACATCTTACTACGATAAGACCAGTTTTAGAATGCGCTGTGCCCGTGTGGCAATCCTATCCCAGACTACTTGGCTAGCGGATGTAATAGAGTCAGTGCAAAAGAGGGCACTTAAGATAGTTTTCCCTGTGGAGAAATCCTGCACGGAGGCCCTGTGTCAAGCAAACTTGCCAACACTGCAAGAGAGAAAAGTCATTTTCTAGTTATATTGTTACCTACGCCTGTTGCAGGTACTTGTAATTACAAGCTCAGAAAGAACTCCGAGAAATTCCTTCCATTTAATGGTGTAATTACTTGTAGAACCAAGAGGGCAGATTCATTTTTTACGCTTAGATATTCTAAGTAAACTTTTACAAGTAATATTATAATCATTATTCATATTTGTAAATATCTAGGTAAATTAGTAGTATTTTTACGGTTTATTTTTAAATTAGTCTTGTAAATTTTTTGCTCACCAATTCAGTATTGATTTTGCAGCAATGAGTAATAAACTTTCCTATCAAGAGCAGTGTAGTATTCACTTGCCATTTTATTGCATTTTTGTTTTAAACATCCATGCCACACTCATGGGCATTTATCTCTAGTTGCTATTTATTAGTTCTTTTAGACGCGTGCTTATTTTTACTTCAAATCTAGCCTTTAATTTGATCATGATTTATTTAACTGGTGGAAAAAGCATGCAGTAATTATTACGTTACCTTTTAGGCCTTATTATCACAAACCTTATCGGGTAAGCCTTCTCGCCCGAACTTCTTCTTTTTCTTCTTCTTTGCATAACAATAAAGTGATATTTTTTTCTTTTTACTAAATTTTTTTATTAGGCAGAAGACAAGGGAGTATCCACCACTGTTGTAGGATTAATCTTTGGAACTTATCCATTGGGAATGTTCATCTTTTCTTTAGCGTGCGGATTTCTTGTAAGTGGTTTCCGATATTAATTCACAGTACAATACAGGACAGATCAATTGTAAAATTACTTTACCTGTTAGCTCTAATTAAATTTCTTCTCGATTTACATGGGTTTTAAATAAAATAGAATGCATTCAATTAATTCCCTTATACTGTCTATACTGTCTACTACATGAGAAATTTCTGCAATTTGAATGGCTTAGAGCAGTGGTATTTCAGCTTAATTTGAAATACCTACATGTGAAAGTTACAAACCTTTTACAGGTAATAGCGGAAACAAATACAGTAATAGCATGATTTGTACGTGATATTTGGCATAAATACCACCCGTGATATTTCAAAATTGTCTCAAATTTGGATGAGGTTTTTGTGATATCCAGAATAATCAAGGTCGAGGCTGAGGCTGAGGCTGATAACCCTTACCGAGACCTTAATTATTCTGAATATCACGAAACCCGAATCTAATAATTGTTTCATTATACATTGAACGAATCCTT